GCGGCTGACGATACTGCTCTTCAGACAGCCGGCCCAGCGCCATGCAGCGGCATGGGTACACCCTAAACCCTAAACCCTAAACCCTACACCCTAAACCCCTAAACCCTAAACCCTAAACCCCTAAACCGTACTCACGCCTGAGGCCTCTAACGTCTTCTTGGAGCTGGAATCCCAAGGCCCCCAAAGCCTGGCAGCATCCCCGCAACATCTACCCTAAACCCTGAACCCCAAAACNNCTAAACCCGAAACCCTAATACCCTAATACCCTAAACCCTCATAATAGCCGGATTGAGCCAAGACAGTCTTAAGGTCTACAGGTCTACTCTGGGTTTGGAGCTTTAGCTCTTAGGATTTTAGGGTGCCAGGTTTGTAGGTTGACGCTGTAGAGCTTGGGGGCAATAGCGGCTTAGGGCTTAAGGTCTGCGTTGGCATTGGTTTTCGGGTTAAACCCTAAACCCTAAACCCTAAATCCTAAACCCTAAACCCTAAATGCAGCTTACTTGCAAGGGAGCTGAAGAGCGAGGACCACTCCGGCAGGCCCAATCTACAGGGCTGTCCGAGCCTGACGCTAAGGACTCTCAGTTGGGTGTATACACCGGCTTATGATGCAAGGCTGATAAGAAACATCGACGTCCTTAGTCCTGCTCATTCAGCGAAAAATTATGCTCCAAATCCCTCATGCCAGCCATGCGAGTCTTGGCAGGTTGAGCTCTGACCTTGAGTTCATGCATAGTGACAATGATGGCTTGCAATTGCCATGTGTGCTGCGAACTCTCCCCATGCCCTGATTCCATGTCACCATTTTCAGCTCCTGCGATGCTTGCGGCTTCTGCGTGCCGTGCTCAGTCCTCCCCACCACTCGCGAAGGTGAGAGTCTCTTCATCGCCGTGGCCCGCGCGGGTGTGGACATGTCGGAGGAGCATCTGCGCGAGGTCTCCTGGGTTCTTCTTCGGGCTTTGAGTTGAAGTTATCATTACTAACACGGAACCGTACTAATTGCTAGAGGTCGTGTCCCTAGATCCCTATTAAGTCCTATTATGGTAACTTAAGTTAAGTTCCTGAACGAAGTTACAATAATCAGGAAACCATTGTATTTACTTCCCCCATTATTGTGTTTTCAATTATAACCAAGCTCCTTAACTAACAAGAACCCAGTCTCCTGCCAGCTTGTCGTTGGCCCGGCTGGAAGCGCGATGCAAGGCTTGGATGGCCGTGCGGGCCGGGTTGAAGAGCGGATAGCCCCGATGCTGGGCCTCTTAGGGTTTCGGGTTTTAGAGTCTAGGGTTTAGGGTTTAGGGTTTTAGACTTTAGAGTTTAAGGTTCAGGTTTAGGGTTTTAGAGTTTAGAGTTTAGACTAATTATTAGAGTTTAGAGTTTAGGGTTTCGGGTTTTAGAGTTTAGGGTTTTTGGGTTTAGAGTTTGGGGTTTAGGATTCTTGGGGTTTAGCCCCGAGGCTGGGCCTCCCGCTGCCTCCCGGGTCTCGGGTGGATGGACAGGCCGGTGCCGCCGTCGTAGCCGTCGTGAAACCACTGATCGAATCTTCTGCCTTCACTGAAGCATGTTGAAACCAACCGTACATCACAAAAAAACATGTGCTCGGAAAAAAAGCAACATAACAAATGAAAAGAACCGCACATCACAAAAAATAGGTGCTCGGAACAAGAGTTACATGGAAAACTGGAGACCCTCAAAAGGACAGAAAGTTCATGTCCTCCAGGTGCTTCCCATCGCTGGTCGCTCGAAGCCAATACTCTGCATGGAACCCTGACCTGGGTTGGGTTGACTATACTTCAGGGCACTTCCTTCGCAATAGTCGTCCTCCGCTGAAATCGTTCAAACACCCTGCTCCCAAATATTGGTAATTATAGTGTGGCCCCTGTCTAAGCTGCCCAGCCGTCATCGAGTTGGGGCGGGCTGGAAAACGTGCACTCCGACAAATTGAGGCATGCGACAGGTCTCGCCACTAAAGCCATGAAGATGCGAATGCTCTACCGTTTGGGGAGCCTCATCAACACATCAAAATTGAAATGCAAGCTAGGGCCTAAACTCTAAATCCTAAACCCTAAACCCTACAGCTAGGGTCGACCGCTTGCTGTGGGGTTCACCTCTACTTTAAACTCTTAGCTTTGCTTACGAGTTACCCTTGGGCCCCCAAGGGCTCTAAGGCCCCCATATCTGCCTATGCTGCAATTAAAGGACCGACAAGGGCTTCCTACACAGGTACCCAGAGACTCCAAAACCCCTTATTTAAGGAATATTCCTGAAATTATGATGGGGAACCCTAGTAAGATTTAACGTATATTTCTCCATTAAACGGAATATTAGAGTCTCTGGGTACTTGAACATCACAGAGCAAGTATACTTTGAGGCTACATGGACTCCTTAAGGAAGACGGTGACAAGGCACCAGTTGATCTCGACGAACAGCCTGCACAGCGGCAGGCCCGATCGGTTTGGCTAGCCGGGATACCGGGGCTTTCAATGGGAGGGGTAGGGCTTTATGGACGGCTTTAGGGTTTAGGGTTTAGGGTTTAGGGTTCAGGGTTTAAGGTTCATAGAGCAATACCTATCGGAGAATCCTAAACTGTGAAGACTCATACTAATTAATGTAGGAATCTGACTAGGAAACCTGGCCCTATAACCCCAAAATATCAGGGGTTCATATGAGGAGCCCTAATAAAGACCCAAGGTTTCTAAATCAGGGTCCCATATTATGAAACTCATCGCCATGACCGCTTATGAAGCAACAATGCCAGCATCCCCATTGCAAAGCTGCCTCAATAGACAAGCCACAGACGCAACCCTATAAGCAGTTTAGGGTTTAGGATTTAGGGGTTTAGGGATTAGCCCGCAACTCTTGGAATCCCGCGCCTGAAACATGAGCAAGGCCACCAGACGACGGTTGTTCCGTGAGTAGAGCCCCATGGTGCCATCAGGCCCCTGGTGCTTGAAGGCGTAAAGAGGCTCGAGCTCTTCAGGTTTCAGGTGCCCCATGAAGAGGCCCAGAAACAGCTTGAAGATGGACTCTTGCCGATTCTCGTGCTCCTCGCCGAAAGCAAAGTGGGCATTCACGGCGTGGTGGGTGAAGCGCAGCGCCAGAACCGGGAGGGGTTCAGCCTCGTCGGAAGGTCGCAGTGCGGGTATGCTCCTTGCAAACTCGGCCACTTCTGCAAAGGTGGGAAAGAGCCACGACATAGCCCCAAGCTGCATTTCTGATGTCCTCACGCGAGCCTCCAACTGCTGCACTCGATGCTCCAGCTCTGCATTCTCCATGCGTGCTCGCAGCTGCTCTGCGCGAAGCTCTTGAAGGCTTCCTTCTGATGTTTCCAAACCTGTCCGCAAGTTTTCCACCGAAAACCTGAAAAGAGCATCGTGAAATCTGGGCAGAGCACCGGTCCTGCTAGCAACACCGAAACGATACCGGTTCAGACTTCTCATCAATCCACCAGGAGGATTCGACCACAGCTGCCCGGCGCAAATCAACAGAAGGTCGTATTGGTCGCAGCAGCTGCATTTTTGCCGGAAACGTTCTCCATGGGAAACCATACGGGAAATGGAATGACGAATAAGGGGATCCGAAAGCTGTTCAAGCGCATCCTCAATATCCTTAATATTTTGAATGCCAGCTATGTCGAAGAGGTAAGAGCGGTCGTGATAGCCGGAGATGCTATCCTCGAACCACCTGACACAACCGACGTTCCACGGCTTCAGGAATCCTAATAATTCGCCCGACTTGAACAATCGGTGAAACAAACCCAAGTGGTCTGCTCTGTTGAACCACGTGTCAATGTCCACAGGCTCCACTGTCTCCCACCAGTCTCCATACCATACCACGCCTAGGAGCGTGGAGGGCGGAGGTTCCGGCCGAAGTCGACGACGGTCACGAAGAATCATTTCCACAACACAGCGGCGCAAATGGGCCTCAGCTGCAAGAGCATGTTCACAGCTTCTTGCGAGGATGCCCATCCTGTCGGGTGGCAGTGTGGGGCTTGCGCTCCGACTGCCGGCACTTCTGCACTTAACAAACAACACGGTCTGTGAAGCCTCCAGCTCTTGAAGATGCTGTTTCCCCCAGGTGGTAAGAAGGATGTCTTCGATGTCAAAGCTGCCTTGCAGACGCACCATAAGCAGCTCCAAGGAAATACGGGAGACCAATATCGCTGTCTCCGCAAGCTGGCGTATGGACAGGGCAGGCTGTGTCACATCCCATGGAGCCTCTCTAATCACAAGACTGAAGGCTGGTGAAAGATCACCACAAATTGCGGGGCAGCCACCAGTCACTCTTCCGAGCTCGCTGTTTCCCAGGATGGAAGTCTCGTAATTGTCCAACCAGGCAACTAAGCCTGAGCGCAAGACTAGCCAGACCTGTTCTGGCACTTCGCCCCCGAGTAAACTGATGGCCTCATTGAAGAAATCGGGAAGCTGAGACGTTCCACACCGGACTTCCAAGTAGAAACGATCATCCGGTGGTGTCCACAGGGTCGGGTGCAGCTTTCAGTCTCTATGCATTGGGATACTTATACTTGGGTCCCGACTCCCACGAACAGGGCACCAACCCCGTCTGAGTCGTCTCCGCCTCTGTCGTGCCTGGGGCGAGCCTTCCGTCGCTGGAGCGTGGACTCGGACTTCGGTGCCCTGGAAACTTTTCCGCAGGAGCTTCAATCGGCTCAGGGTCCTGACGGGTTGACACAGAGTTAGACTCCAAGTATACAAATAATACGCACTTTAGGGTCTAAGGTCAATAAATAGTACCTCCTTTGGGCTATTTGGAGTCTTAGGGACAGAGTAGCAAGTAGCAGCACTTCATGGCAGGGGGATGAAACCGAAATTGGATCATGGACTTAGGAGATAAAGTGCCTACCTCCCAAGTGCGCCAGGGTCCTCCAACTTGAACTCGTGACCGAGCGCGGCAGCGCAAGCAAGTACCTTGGCAAGGACGTGGGAGCCAACGAGTCTGAGGAAGTGAAGCAAGTGAAAAACCCACGGTGAACCAGGAGACCCTGAATATAAATATACGCCCCCAAATCCCTCAAACACGACTCCGCACTCAGCACGACTGTTGAGATGGGCTGCGTCAGGAAAGCGTGCTGCGGCTCTGTCGCTCTGAACGCCATCCTTTGCCGCTGCGGCCAGACCAAGTCTTCTCAGCCTAGTCGTGTAGTCCGCGCGGGTTCTTAGTTAGACTTAGTAGTGCGATACAGCCCAGAGACTCCAACATCCCTTAGATTTCAGGAAGATACCTTAAATTTATAGTAGGAGCCCTAATAAGATTTAACGTATATTCTTTGATTTAGGGATATTGGAGTCTCTGGATACTTGCAAACGACTCGTTGTCATGCCTGTAGCCCAGCACAAGCTTGCCAGCTAGTCTCCGAGCAGGCGAAAAGCTGCAGATTGTGTGGTGATACGTGTGGGATCCTTGGGTTCCATGACCCTATACGCACAAATTCAAACGAAACCCGGCTGCTCTGTGAACATGTGCAACACTCCCATGGCACAGCCTTGAATCCAAGCAGCCCTGATGCAGCTTCTCTCAACCCAACCCTGGATACAAGACCCAACTGCCCAAAGACTCCAATATCCCTTAATAGCCAGAATCGAGGAATATACCTTAAATTATAATTGAAACCCTAATAAGATGAAAAGTATATTCCTGAATTAAGGGATATTGGAGTCTCTGGGTTCAGGCATGTGCATGCACGGGACCTCATAACCTGGAGATGCGATGTGCCACTCGGACTCACATGCAGCTAATCCCTAAGGGCCCATGTACCCAAACAGCATATACTTTGGTCCCAAAGGACCTATAAAAGGGACTACTTTAAGGTCAAAGCATATACTATTTGGGTACATGGACCCTTAGGGAATGACACCAAGACCAAAGCCCCTCAATCTGAGACCTCTTCGAATTTTGGGGTATGTCATAGTAGATTTCTGACAAGGAACCCCCAGAATAGTATAGGTAACTATTTAGGCCCCTATAGTATAGTAGACAACTTCTTCGCCTCTGCCATCGGATCTGCGAACAACGCACGGTGAAACCAACATCCTACCGCCGCTCTGGAGTAAAGGGGTTCAGAGTGCAGGGTTCATAATACACCCTACACCCTCGACATCCATGAACCTTAGTATTTGTAAGGCTTAAGGTTCGGGGGAGCACCTGGCCCGCACAAGGTCAGACCCAACAGAGAACACCAAAGGAGGAAACCGAATCGATCCCTGCAAACGAAACCATCACTGCAAACCGTAAACCCGCCTACAGGTCTCGAAGCATTGGGCACAACAAGCAAACCACTGTGCGCGGAAAGACTTTTTCAATAATCCAAACCCCAAACACCTAGACCTAGCCTGTATCGAAAGTTCTAAGTCTGAACTTGAATCAGTCCATGGGACTGGTGGCGGACTCCAACGGCACCGGCGTGATTGGTAGCTTCGGGGGATCGGACCCAAGTAAGATGGGAGCCTAAATGGGTTGCAATCGGGTTTCGGGCAAGGAAAAAGCGTGTAGGATGCAAAGTATACAGGGCTGTAATATGCTGTAATGATACTAACAATAATAATAATAATAGTAAAATATGGCGCGTAAGGGCTCAGGGGTACATAATATGCCGTAGCTACACAAGAACTTCGCTCTGGAATCTTTGGTCTCCGGTCTAGTCGGAAGGTTTGGGGAGATCCCGAAGCTCTAAACCCTAAACCCTAAACCCTACCTGGACCCCCAAAGTATGCACAATTATAGCCTTTTAATGGTAATGTGCCATGATTTTACCTACTTTTTTCGGGGGGTTTAGGTGAACCCTAAACCCTAAACCCTAAAACCCTAAACCCTTGCTCTGTTGCTGGCGGTGGCATCTCAGACTTGGAACCAGCAGTGCCTCAGGCTTCTAGGAGGGTTTAGGGCTTAGGGTGTAGGGGTTTAGGGCTTAGGGCTTAAGGTTCAGGGTTTAGGGTTTAGGGCAGGTTTAGGGTTTAGGGCAGGTTTAGGGTTTAGGGTGCCAATCTGATATATCCGCATGCCCGAAAAACTCTCCATTTTCCAAACTCCAAGGTTTCCAGCTGATAGAGTCCACAGACTGTGCACAACAGAAGCCCGACATGCTGAAAACCCGGATGCTGCTATCACTACTTCGGAGGTGCTCCTTGTCTATGAGGTTGATGATCTCTCCTCGCAGAGGTGGCTGCAGTTGCAACTAAGCAGCGCGGCTTCTGATCTTGCCAGCTCCATTCTTACAGGAAAGAGGAGCCGCAGACTGCACTCACTTTTCTAGCGAGGACAGTGAAGCCCGTCCGGCCAATAGCAGGCAGGTCTTTTCGTTTTAACTTCCAATTCATCGGTGTAATTAAATCTTATCACCGGTTCTTTACATGGAAGCACCAAATTCATTCCGGGACCACCCCATGAGCACCCTTACAAAGATTCGACGAGCTTCTTTGAGCTGCCATAGGTCGTAGGCACAGACGAGCGACTTTCGGGTTCGAGCACGATGTCATCGTAGTCTTTGGACAGCCAAGTGGCGACGTCCACCCGGGTGTAGGCGTACCCTTTCCGCTCCAGCCATGCAACCTCGGCCTTCTGTGAGTTACCAAGACCCTCAGAAGCTTCCATGAAGTTGCGGTCGTCTGGCGGGAGCCATGCCATGAAGAGCCGCTGCACCTCTCGCGAGTATTGAGAAGACCCATCTTCACGTTCACCCAGGGATAGGTTTTGGAGACCCGCTGCCAGTGCCTGTCGCATCTCGTCGGAGTCTTCGAACTCGGCTCGTCGGGCATTGATACTATCCCGGCGAAGATGCTCCTGTCCAGCCGTCATGAAGCTTTGGACTCGTCCTTGGCCTAGCCTTCCAGGGAAGAAGTACACCTCCAGCTCGGCCCCATACTCCACTGCCTGCTCGATGTTCTCAATCCATTTGGACCACCACCTGCACCCCCACGGCTTTTTTTCGCCATAAAGGGGCACGCACCAGCAGCTGCCTTGCAGGTGTTCCTTGGGGGGTATCGCGTCATGATTGCCGAAGTCATCGGTACCTTCTGGAAGAAATACCACGGCAGCACTGACTCCACCACCACGGGCTCCTTCCACCAGCCTGTCCCAGGCACCGGCGAATCTGCCGGGCCAGCTGCAGACGCACTTGCGCCCGCACCCTGGTTGTACTGCGCCGTCGAACCTGATGGTGCGATTGAGCACCTTGTCCTTGGCCTTTTCGTGAAGCATTGCCATCGCTGTTTCCAAGTCTATGGGGCTTTTTCGGGCGCAGGCGCCGCAGGCGCCGCAGGAAGGACACATCCACCAGGCGGTGAAACAGCATGCCGTGGGCCATATGATGAATCCTGTCCACCAAAATCCGCGGATGGCGCCGTGCACGGTAAAGGCGACCAAGGCCAGGAGCCCCAATAGCCAGCTGAGGTAGTAGCAGATACGGATCCGTCCAACGGAAAAATACAAGTCATCAGGCAAACTCAATTCACCCGACTCCTTCGCATCCCAAGCCTTGAGGTTGATGCAACAACAGGGCAGGAGCGTGCCGCAAGCTAACAGGGCAGCCATGTCGGCTTGTCCTGGTGGGATTAAGACTACGCAGACGATCATGATGCCTGTAATGACGAACATGACTGCGAACTTGAGTCCTGCTTCCCAGTGCTCGTAGCACATGCTTTTGCTGACTTCCTGCTGAAAGGCGGCCTGCCTTAACCGTTCGGCAATTCTCAAGCGACGAGCCTCGCGCATGATGGCTTCCGCCTCCAGGCCCTCCCGGCGCTGGACCTCCTCGCTGAAGGCACCGAAGCTTTCGGAGGCTGAGAGCTGGATGGCGGTGCGATCAGCGCAACCTTGCAGCTCGGGGTCCTCCCGCAGCCGTACCTCTGCTGTAGCAACTGGAATTCTCAGGGTGAGAGTTCTGCGTGGATAGAGAACCTCCCAGTGACCGTCCACCTTCACCTCGATGGGGCTCTTGAGGTCATTGGTCAACACTGTCGATGTTAGCGCCTCTCCGGCGTCATGCGGTGGCTCAGACATCAAGGAGTCAAGGAGATTCGCAACGAAACTCCATGCAAAGAGTTTCAACCTGAAGTCCCGCGATGGCTTGCCAGGCTCTTGAGGCTCGTGGCTAGCAGGCTGCAGGCACATGTACAGGGTTTGGAGTGAAGCTGGGAGTTGCATAGGCCCGGCGGCCCGCCTTACCACGCAGGCCAAGCCTGTACTTCAGGTGAGGAGCGGCTGACACTCACAGGGCATGTCTTGATTTAGACCAACGATGTAAAATAGAAATAAAGCAAGCGGAGTAACTGAGTAACCCAAACCCAGCTGGCCCATTCTAGCCACGGGCCTCTGACCCCTCGGTGTCCTTGCAGACGTGGCCGACCCAGTCAAGCGCTCCTCGGCAGGATGTGGAGGGCGTGTCGAGATTAAGCAAGCTTCCGACTTTGAGTGTATCTGAGGAACTCGAAAGCCTTAGGGTACCCCTCCCCCCCCTGCCGCCCCCCCGGGCCCACTTCACCCGCATTATACGAAATATGATGAGAAAGTTCAGGGAGCCAACGCCCTGGGTGTTCCGTATTTGCTGTCTTGACCACTATCTGTCCGTTTTTGGGTCTCTGTTCCACCTGATGATCGGGGGCAAGGGTCCTTCTACAAGATGTGCCATGAGACGGCATAGTTGGTTTCGTGTTCATGACAGAAAGAGAGTGGGAGAGAGAGAGAGAGACAGAGACAGACAGAGAGAGACACAGAGAGAGAGAGAGAGAGAGAGAGAGCGAGAGACAAAGAGGGGTGAGAGGGAAAGTTTGCTTTTATTTCATCCTCTAATATGG